AATTAATCTTCAATTTTCATCATAAATCATCATATGGGGGTGTTCAAACACTGACTATAAATACTTAATCTTCTGTCAACGACAGAATGGTGCAGACTGTAATCGATGTACAAGGATTTAAAACATCAAGAAACGTATTTATACCAAAAGAACTGGCAATTTATAATGGCAAGCAGGTTGCTCATTTTATGTTCAAGCCTCCATTTCCGTGGAATAGCTTATCTACCGATTTACAACGTCAAGCTACCTGGCTAATTCATAACCATCACGGAATTAAATGGGAGCATGGTCATACGCCATCCTACATGTTTCCAATTATACTTCGCCAGTTAATATCATCATCAGACCAAATATACGTTAAAGGAAAAGAAAAAGCCGATTTCATTCGAAAAACTCTATGGCAAAATGTCACCGAGGTGGAAGAAGAACCAGCTCTACCTAAATTAGAAGCATGTTGCTACTATCATGTACGATCACTTTGTTGTTGCGCTTTATCTAACGTTTATTATATTTATAATACGCATGTAATTCAGTAATTTTTTTTTTAATAAAACAACCAAATTCAATTCATTTTTACTTTATTGCAATTGATACATCTTAATACAGACTGGCCCTTTCTTGCTTCTCTGTTACATACTTCACTCTTCATTTATATAAAGTTTAATTACACTTTTACGTGAACTATAATTAAGTTTTGCGTACGATGCCAGTGAACGGTTCATACTCGATTTGGAGAGTAAATTACCGAACTTCCTAATTTTTTTTTATGATCAGAAGTTAAATGAATTTAAGACCAAAAAAAAACTGTAATATTAAAATGCAGTTTGAATCAATTTAGCGGCGGAGAATAGAGCTATATAACGTACTGGATATTTGGGAGCGTTAAAAAATAGGGAGTACTTACGCCGCTTATTGAGCAGAACGAATGGTCGAGTAGAGTTTTCACCAACTTTTCTTTCGGCCCGGCACACGACAGTCGTAGTATTATGTCATCGCAAACAGCAAGATTCCCACTTGTTTGTTCCTTCCACCAACATTTTTGCGTGCGCACTAAGTACAAGGACGGACAACACGGCAGGGAAAATCAAAATTATGAGGAGCAATAACAATACAAGGAAATTTTTAAAGGGAGGACAACGTACGTTATTTATGTATGCAACATACCGCCCACCAAATTCACTCTACGGGAATTTAACAAAAAAAATAAAATTAAACAAACATGCAACAAATATTATGAAATTAATTAAGTATATTAACATATTTATTGTGTCGGCAGTGCGCACAATTTAACTAAGGGACGTTTGAAACTACCGCGAGTAGTATGAACGCATGCTACTCTAGCAATTCCATCACTCCCCGGAAACAGTCTTTCGATGCGACCAAGCCGCCACTGTAGAGGGGGCGTGGTATCATCTTTCAGCAAAACTAAGACGCCAATATCAGCCGGTACAAGTTTTTTATCTTTGGCCCAATGACTCTTTTGAAATAAAGTATGCAAATACTCATTGTTCCATCGCGACCAAAACGATTGTTGCAGTTGCTGCAATAATTGCCAACGAGTGAGACGCGAAACCGATAAATGAGATAAATCTGGATCCGGTGGGGCTGATAATGGTTCTAATGTTAAAAAGTGACCCGGGGTTAAGCTACTAAGATCGTTGGGGTCTGTACTGATAGGACAAAGTGGCCTCGAGTTCAAAATGGCTTCTATTTCCGCGATAACAGTATTCATCTCTTCTAACGTAAGGATTTGATTTCCAACAATACGAATTAAATGTTTTTTGACAGACTTAACACCGCTTTCCCAGAGTCCACCGGAATGGGGAGCAGCAGGAGGGTTAAATGACCAAGAGATTGCTTGTGAATCGACCGAGTGTTTCATTAATCGATTAAATTCTCTGTGAGCACCGACGAAATTAGTCCCACAGTCGCTAAATATTTGAACGCACCGTCCTCGGCGTGCAATAAAACGCCTAAGTGCAGCAATAAAAGCGTCGGTAGATAGGGAAGACGCCATTTCTAGATGAATCGCCTTGGTGGCGAAACAAACGAAAAGACAAAGATAAGCTTTGACCACTTTGGTTCCACGGATTCTAGCTGCAGAGATGTTAAAGGGTCCCGCAAAGTCACAACCAACAACACTAAAAGGTTTTATTTTACTTATTCTTAGGGATGGCAAGTTTCCTGTAGGAGGAGAATAAGCGGTGGGATTAACTCGAAAACAACGGTTGCATTTAGCTAAGTAACCACGAATAGAACGTCGGGCCGATAATATCCAAAAATTCTGTTGTATCAAGTACATGGTTGCATTGACACCAGTATGGTGGTTTATTTCATGAACATGGCGAATCAAAAGTTCAGTAAGGCGATGTGAGCGAGGTAACAAAGCGGGGTGTTTTGATTCAAATGGCAACGAGGAATTTTCTAATCGACCACCTACCCGAATAATATGGTCTCCGCCCACCAAAGGGGATAGTTTGGCAAACCATCTAGGTAGTGCTTTATGCGAACGAAGCTTCGTGAAAAGATCCGAAAATAAGTTTTCTTGAACAATTCTAACCATAAATAATAACGCATTGTGGGATTCTTGAGCGGACAGGGAACCTAAGCGCGTATCACGGGGATTCCTCATGTTGTGTACAAAACGTAAGATATAGGCCACAATGCTTTTTATCTTAGGTAACGAAGACACATCCAGTAACACTAAAACAAAGTGCTCTGGATCGACAAGACTGGTAGTATGAGCAACGCATGTAATGACGGACGTTTGTTTCATTTCCAAAGGGGGACAATTATTGATTGGCTCAGAAGGCCACGAATTATGAGATAAATTCAGAAAAGCAGGACCAGACCACCAAAGCGTTTGAGATAATATCTGATTGGGGAGTAAACCGCGCGACGCGTAGTCGGCAGGATTTTTTTGAGAAGGGATATGGCGCCAACATCCAGGAGCCACGCGCTCATGAATATAAGCCACCCTATTGCTAACAAAGACCTTCCATTGCCGCGGTAATGAACGAATCCACGTGAGGACAATGGTTGAGTCCGTCCAGGCAATAACATTATCTATGATAACCAGCTCACTAAAGGATTCTAAAACGAATTTGATTAACTTTGCCAATAACACAGCTCCGCAAAGTTCCAGACGAGGTATTGATAACTGTTTAACAGGAGCAACCTTGGATTTAGAGATTACGAATTTAGTAGTAGCGGTTCCATCTTGAAGCGAAAAACAAAAGTAAACGACAGCGGCATAACCCTTTTCAGAAGCATCACAGAAGCCATGTAATGCACATGAAGAGAAATAACGAGGGAGTAAATTGCGAGGCAATTGTAATGACGAAAGTTCATGAAGTCCCGACTTAAACTGATTCCAAGAGCTAACAATTTCGTGAGGCGGTTCAACATCCCAACCCAGACCTAACAACCATAGTTTCTGAATGAGACATTTAGCAAAAAAACTAACTGGGGTGAGAAACCCAAGGGGATCATAGATCCGCGCGATTTGTGATAAGATTGAACGTTTTGAACAAGGCATGTCACGAGGACTTACAATGAAAGCAAAAGTATCGGAAGACGAATGCCACTGAAGGCCAAGAATTTTAATCGCACTGGAGGGGTCGATATCAAAAGAACGTGCTTGAACCTGCCTGAATTCAACTGGAATAGAATCCAGAACGTCCACGCAGTTGGATGCCCATTTGCGAAGCTCGAAACAGCCTAAGGCAAACAAATCTACGAGTTGAGCGACAAATTTTCTAGCTTCTTCAAGAGATGAAGTTCCGCAAATTAAATCATCTACGTAAAGGCTACTGCGAATGGCATTGACTGCGAGAGGAAACTGATCTGCACCAATATCGGCTAATTCCAAGAGAGTACGGATAGCTAGGTAAGGGGCAGAAGATACACCATAAGTAATGGTGTTCAATTGGTATGTGGCGATTGGATCTTCAGGGGAAAATCTCCAACGAATAGCTGGGAATAGACACACACTTTTACGCGCGGATAAGCTCGCCACGAGTAAATCCGCGGATTTACTCGTGGCGAACCGTTTTACGACCGAGACAACACACACAGAGGCAAATCGTTCGAACTTTCCGCCGGAATGCTCGTCACATGCAAATCTCTGTGTATATGGGACAAATATGACGATTTATCCGTCGAATCCACATGGCTCGTGGCTCCATGAAAATTTTAAAAGGCCAGGAGCCATGCCAAAGACAAAGGCACTTCATAATCTCTAGTAAGCGTGTTAACATGTGCAGCGTTGAAAAAAAGAAAAAGAAGTTTGCTATTGCAAGTGCGCTAATTTACTCCGAAATGTGTATAAATAATAGTAATAATAAAAAGAACAAAAGAGAGCGTTCAGTATGGCAAAAGAGATGGCTCAGTGAAAGAGATAAATACAGCGACCTAAAGCTTTTGAAAGAATTACGCAATAATGAACCCCACGACTATAAAAATTATCTGAGAATGGATGCCAATACTTTTGATCATCTTTTACGCCAATTAGAACCTTATCTAAAAAAAAAGACACTCCAATGCGTCAAAGCATTCCTCCAAATGAACGGCTTGTAGCGACCCTTCGATTTTTGGCCACTGGACGCAGTTATGAAGACCTAAAATTTAGCACCGGGATATCTCCTCAAGCATTGGGATATATAATTCCAGAAACATGCAGAGTAATATATGAAGTTTTAAAAGGAGAATACTTAAAGGTAAGACAAAAATATGTATATCGATTTTATGTATTATTATTATTGTATATTTGATTGAAAACAATGATTTGAAACTTAAAAACTACCTTCACAAAAGATACATTACATAGAATATATAAAATAAACTAAATATTTGCAAAAGTTCTAAAAAGGATAGTTACATAAAAAATGTAAAAAAAGTAAACTAAATATTATTGTTAAGATTGTCAATCGATGGTAGATGGTGCATAATCAATATTACATTACATAGAATATAAAAACTAAACTGAATATTTGCACAAGTTATAAATAGGAAACATAAACATATGTAAAAAAAAGCTAATCTAATTAAGATTGGTAAAAGTTGAATAATATTGAGGAAGTGTATTAGGCTCATCATTATTAGTACAGCTTGAGGCATGCACTACGTTTGTTTGATTATTAGACCAAAACATGTTTGTCTTTTGGTCAGTGAGAACTGTATTCTCTGATAATGTGCTCATTACTGCTCTTTGCAAAACTTGCGTAATCAATGTTTCAGCGTACATTTTTTGGGAGTTGTCTTTGACACTTTTCAGTTTTTTGCCCACATATGTACCAAATGCATCGCTATCATCCAAAACTTCATTGTTGCCACTTGTTAAGGCACTGGTGCATGCTTTTAGAAAATCACGATGTTCGTTTGTATGTTCTTTCTTGCGCGTTTTTGCGGTTCGCCTAGCTTCTGTAATAAATGAAGTACTGATACTTGGTGTTGTTGATGCACTTGGACTTGCAACCTGTAATTAATTATTTTTATTTGTTTTGTGCAGTTCCCTTCTACAAAAGAAGAATGGAAGGAAATCGCTAAAGGATTTGAAGAGACCTGGCACATACCAAATTGCGGAGGGGCAATTGACGGGAAACATATTCGTATTTGTGCGCCACCAGGAACTGGAGCTCAATACTATAATTACAAACATTTTTATAGCATTGTGTTAATGGGTGTTGTAAACTCTAACTATGAATTTATATTTGTGGATGTTGGAAAAAATGGAAGAATTTCCGATGGGGGAATTCTACAATATACAACGTTTTATCAGCGTCTAATTGAAGACAAATTGCATTTACCAGAAAAACATGAATGCTCAGAAAATTTGAATTTTGTCGTTATTGGCGACGAAGCCTTTGCTCTTCACAAGCACATGTTAAAACCCTTTCCTCAAAATAATCTGACCTATGAAAGACGCATCTACAATTATCGACTAGCTAGAGGCCGTAACGTTGTTGAAAATGTTTTCGGTTTGATAGCTGCAAGATTTCGTGTGCTCCATACGGCTATAAATATGTCGCCATTGAATGCTCAGTTTATAGTACTAGCTGTGTGTACTTTACATAATTATTTAATGAAGTCAAAAAAAAAATATGTGGGACCTGCTACATTTGATTTGGAAAATAGACAAACGCATGAAATATTAGAACACGCAGAATGGCGAGAAAATGATGTTCAGTTGTGCTCCCTGCAGATAGGGGGCAATAAAAATTATACGCATGACTCAAAACAAAACAGAAATGAATATATGGAATATTTTACCGGGAAAGGAAAGGTATCCTGGCAAGATGCAATGCTAACCAAGGGGACGGCCTAACATATATGATTTTAACGTGTATGTTTTTCTTTGAAAATGCCAAATTAAATATAATGTTTCATTTACCTGAGTTTCACTTATTATTTCTGATTCATTGTCTTCAAGAATAGCGGCATCGTCATCATCGTCGCCTTCTTCCCTGTCGCCACTCGTACTTGCCGTAGATGGACTTGGCACATTCGAAACGCTTTGGGCGGGCTGTTCTTGATCTTTGATAAACATCAACAAGTCAAAATACCATAAATTTGGTGTATATACTTCATCACTGCCACGGCCACTTCTAATCGAATTTTCCACTTTTTTGTACTCCTTTCTGAAGGTACTTCTCAAGGATTGAATTTTCTTTTGAACTATGTCTCGACTTTGCGGAATATTAAATTTTTTGCAGACTTCCATTAATGCAGTGTACCCCAGATTCTTTAAATTTTTGTTTATGTATTCCGACGATTTTATTTTCCATAACGCTGGATGCTGCCTATACACTTCAATGAATTCGGTTATAAATTCTTTATTCATTTTAAGAATTATTGTTTGCCACAACTCGAATATTACAATCTTACTACATCGGACTGAATCTGCAGAAAAGTGTGTGTGTTTATTGACGGAGCCCGTATCGTATCAGTCCGACAAACCCGACAATAAATGGCTCGCGGTCCGGCACGCTGGTTATGAGTGGTTACATAATCACACAGATTTATCCGTAGTTTTGGCTCGCCCCATGCAAATCCGCGTGAAAATATGTGTGTCTATTCGAAGCTAATGAGTTGGTACTTGCGATCCTCAAAACGAATGAGGATTTGGCGGTACATTTGACGAACGTCGCAAGTAAAAACAAAGGGATGCGTTCGAAACTGTAGCAATAATTGCACAATATCCTTTTGCAGCTTAGGACCAACTAGCAAAGTATCATTAAGTGATTGCTGGTTTGAAGCTTTGGCCGAAGCGTCAAACACTACACGTATTTTGGTATTTTCCTCTCCGTGTTTAAAAACACCATGATGAGGGATGTAATAGCAATCATTACCACACGGGTTAGTACTCAATAGTGTCATGTGACCAGCATCTAAATATTCTCGCATAAAGTCTAAATAAAGAGCTTTCAATTGCGGTTGTGAAGCGAGGCGATTCTCTAGGGACCGAAGGCGACGATCTGCAATGCCCATCGAACCGTCAAAAGTGGGATTAGCAACCTTGAAAGGAAGTGCAACACCAAAACGGCCCGAGACGTCTCGAAACAATGATTTTCTGAAAAAGGATTCAGCGAATTCCTCTTCGGCATTGACTAGTGGTTTGGAATGAATTTCTTCGATGTCCCAAAATTGTTCGACAATTTGCTCTAGCGGCGGTTCTGAGACCGAAAGCAACGATTGGACGACCTGTTGAGGATGGCCAAGTTTAACTGGGCCTAAAATTACTTGACCGAATACAGTACCTAATAAGAAGGGATAATCTCGTGTGCGGGGAGCGCTATCTACACTGGTACGGGTTATAAATGGGTAAACATCAGCACCTAAAAGAAGTTGAACGGGACGAGATTGATACCACAAACTATCGGCTAATCTAATTCCACGAGGAAGGCAAATGTCCGAATTGAGCGATTGATTAGGTAAATTGCCACAAATTTTGTCTAAAAGAAAGAATTCAAATTCGAAGGTTGGGGACATGGAGTCAATTGGACGAATTTCCGAAGTGACTGTCGACGAAGAATTCATAGCGATATTTCCCAGACCGGAAATGGGAATGGCATTTGCTTGCTTAGGTAATTTAAGTCTATTTACTAAACAAGTGGTTATGTATGAAGTTTGACTTCCTGTATCTAATAGGGCTCTTGCGGTATGATAATTTCCAAAACAATCTCTAATTTTTAAGACAATTGTACCCAGAAGTACCGGGGGCCGAGTCGAATAAGATGTCGAACAACTACTGGCGCAAGATGTTACCTGGTCAGAGCTTTGCGGCGAAGAGGTAGCGGTTTGAGCGATTGGACTAGAAAGGCGCGGTGGAAAGTGTAACAAACTGTGATGTCGAGAGCTGCAAGATCGACAGTTCCTTTCCGACGAGCATTTGGAAACAGCGTGTCCAGGTGACAAACAATTAATACAAACGCGATTGTTCTTGGCAATTTCAAAACGCTCATGGGGTTGCTTGTCTTTGAAAACAGGACAAGCAAACAAGGCATGTGACTGCGCACATAAAATGCACGCATGACGAGAGTTCGAAGCGGTAGTGACCAGTGTGGTTTTTGCAAAAGGTTGCCTGAAATTACCACTAGACGAAGTCGAAGGGGATTTATTAAATTTGCCGACCTGTGGGACAACTTTGCTATATGAGGCGGATTTATCAAACGAGGCGGGTTTTTCCGAAGAAAGCGGTGCAACTAATGCTTCTAGCGATAAGCAATGCTCATTTAATAAATGTTCAATCTCTGAAAATGTAGGAATTTTCTTCTTATCCAATTTAATTTCGATTTCCTTACGGGTAGAGGGATCTAGTTTACTAACAACAATGTTAAATAATACAAAGTCCCAAGTATCAACTAAATTTAACAGCTTGAGAGCCTCACAATTTTCGCGGATTTTATTTAACAGGCTTCTTAAACAAGTGGCGGATTCAGAAGTCATCGCAGGAATGTTCTGAATTTCATTCCAGTATAAAGTGGCGAGTAACCGTTCATTATTGTAACGATCTAACAACGTATCAAACGCAATACGGTAATTATCGGCGCAAATTGGAATTGCTTTAACGATATCTAAAGGTTCGCCCGATAAACAACCTACTAAGAAATGGTACTTTTCAATATTACCGTAGGGTTTTTCCTCTACCAGTTTAATAAAAAGATCTCTAAAATGCGGCCAATCACGAATATTTCCACCAAATTTAGGCAGTGATATTCGTTGCAGGTGATCTACAAAAGGTCTCGAAAAGAAGGACTCATTATTTAACTGCATTGATTGCGGGTTCGTCGATGTAGGAAATAATTGTTCGTAAGCGACCTCAATTTGAATGAATTTGGATAAAAATTGTGAACCGATTTCATTTTCGAGTTCTAATTGAACCGGTTTATCAGCGACTAAAGCGATAATTTCCAATTGATTGGCGTCAAATGTTTCTTTGCACGATGGTACTTGTTTATACCAGGTAGCGAAAATGAGTTTAGATGATGGATCAGCTAGAGCGGTTTTTGATAAATTAAAAATAACCTGTAACGTATTTACCGAAACATTACGAAATGCCTGAAATTGTTTAAGTTTAGTAGCCATAGTATGAAAAATAATCAACGACGCGAAAAACCTAATCGAAAAGTTGGCTTATTGTAATTAAAAGAAATGCAACATTCACAATCGAATACTTGTGAAGCGTACAAAATATGTTTCTGGAGCTTGTGATAGGTTAAGAGATAAACAGTGAATGTATTAAACTTGTACGTGCCTAATATTTTATAGCAAAAGAATCGATTATTCGATTCAATAACAATTGATAAAGTGCGTTGCAACAACAAAACGACTAAATGGAATCGCAAGAAGCGCACTCGAACATGGGCAAATTTTGATAGCGACTATATTTATTTCTTTCACGCAAAAAAATTAGGAAGCGTCTTTATCATGGACACAACATCCGGCTCGAAGGACCAGAAATGGAGATTAAATTACCGAACTTCCTAATTTTTTTTATGATCAGAAGTTAAATGAATTTAAGACCAAAAAAAAAAACTGTAATATTAAAAATGCAGTGTGAATCAATTTAGCGGCGGAGAATAGAGCTATATAACGTACTGGATATTTGGGAGCGTTAAAAAAAATAGGGAGTACTTACGCCGCTTATTGAGCAGAACGAATGGTCGAGTAGAGTTTTCACCAACTTTTCTTTCGGTCCGGCACACGACAGTCGTAGTATTATGTCATCGCAAAACCAGCAAGATTCCCACTTGTTTGTTCCTTCCACCAACATTTTTGCGTGCGCACTAAGTACAAGGACGGACAACACGGCAGGGAAAATCAAAATTATGAGGAGTAATAACAATACAAGGAAATTTTTTAAAGTGAGGACAACGTACGTTATTTATGTATGCAAACACGATTAATGCATCATGTAAAATAACGCAGTAAGCGATAGTTTCATTTGCAAATGCAGATGATGCTTCAACTTCCAGCTTCAAATCGATCACCACGTTATGGACGCTCTCGTTTTGACGGGTGCAATTGATAATGAAGATAGGCTGCTTTTCGAACTCTTTGTAGCTAAGAAGGGAGCTCTCCTGTGACGAGTCGTAATATTGATTACGAAAGTTTAAATATTCTTCGTAAGCATCCACATACTTGTTATCGGTAAAGACCAGATTTTGCTGCTCATACGGATATCTTCGGTTGTTAATGTTTGCTTTTATATTGGAAATGCTTAAATGGTTAAACTCGCTCGCATCTGCTTCTTTGTTATTTCGCTTCCTAGTTTGGAACGCAATCAGTAGCCATTGAGGCCGTTGAAAACCGGTGCTGCTTTTTACCGACCAAACCAATGATCTGGTGCTGGGTAAGGTTGGGTATACGTAAAGGTCGCGCGCATGAAACGCCACTTGTATCGGTGAATTCTTGTTAATCCTCCCGTAGATCGACAACTTCATAGCATCGTTCGGAATTACGTACGGAACTTTCCATGTTACCTTCGTAAGATTAATCTTAACTTCAGTCTCGCCTTTATAGCAATCACTATCGTCCTTGGAACGAATTAATATCAGCTCTTGACGTATGTTGACTAGAGGCTTCCTGTATCCTTCGGCAAACCCGAGTACATGCTTTAGAGGTATGGAAGCGCAGAAAGCCGTCTTAGTGCTATTTAGTATCTGAGGAGCCCCGGAAGGGCTCCAGCCTGCATGCGATAAGCATCTGCTTTGATCCGACGTGTATGAGCAAAACCCCTTGATGGTGCTGTTTATTCCGGGTAATCGAACAGTTTCTATCACCTGATCGCCCAAAATAAATCTAATTTCGTCGAAGAGAAAGAGCGGCGCGTTGTTGGTGAAATCGTAAGCTTTATTTGCGGTAGTCGGATTCAGCGTTCCTTCTAAATATATAACGCTATCGTAGGTGGCCGTGATGAGATCCGCTTTCTGTATGACGAGATTAATCTCATCGGAGTTACCATAAGCGTTTGTCGTATAAGGATGGTATGTTCTGCGATCGCATTCCACGATCATG